AACAAGGCTAAGCGTGTAGCTAAGGAGTTAGATCCCAGGTAAGCTTGTAACCCCTTCTTACCGGGAAATTCTCTTTTACTTCCTTTTGTAAAGACTGGGAGAAAGTCTTATGGGGAGGGTTGGTATTCTGGAATATGAAGATGGAGCTCCCTGAACATCTTCACAGGTACGAAGACTATGTGGACCAGCATTATAAAGAGTTCCTCAAGAACCAGGGCAAAGTGGACTCGGTGAGACTTGCAGAATTAGCAGGAGGCAGAATGCAGGGAGAGACTCACAAGATTGATTCTCTCCCTCTTCTTTCCCTCATGTCATCTCTTTTCTCTTGTAACTCTGTCTTCCATTGACCCAGCTGGTGGGTGTGGATGTGATAGCTGCTTTGGACCTGTATGTGGAGCAGGGCCAGTGGGACAAGTGCATTGAAACAGCTACCAAGCAGGTACTGCTGTCTTCCCATTCCCAGTTTTCCTTTACATTTTCCCTTGATTCCCCACCTGCTTCAAAGCTGCATCTCTCCTACCTCCACAAAAACCCAAAGCCCAAAGATTTCTAATGGGCATCAGATAAGCTCAATCTGAAACTGGGGTCAGAGGTTTGCATACGCCCTTTGTCTCCTCAACAAATACATGGCCTCAAGTCACCTCACTGCTTGGTCTTGCTGATCCCAACTTCACACATGCTTTTCCTCCACCCCTGTACAGAACTACAAGATTCTGCACAAGTACGTGGCTTTGTATGCAACTCACTTGATCCGGGAGGGTAACTCTGCCCAGGCATTGGCCCTATATGTACAGCACGGAGCCCCTGCTAACCCACAGGTACCAGCCTTCTCCTTGGATTGAATGTTTCCACAAGGAAACTCTTTTCACTTCTAGAACCACCTATTTTCTCAGGAACTATCTTCTCAGAGGATTCTATCCTTAGAGAACATCATGCCCAGAGCCCCCAGTGCATCTCCAGAAAGGTACAGCCTCTCTGGAGGCTGTGTATTTGCTAAGAGCAAGGGGAGAAGTTTGCAGAAACTTTCAACTTCTGTTTGAAGAAACACCCATGGAGCTCCCCATGCTGTTAGCAAATACACAGGCACCTGTCTTTCAGAGCGGAATCCTGCACATACCTCTAGGGCCTTTACTGACTTCCTCCAGAGAATGAACACTGCTGCCTGATTGAGAGTCACAGCCCATTAATATTGTGACTCTGCATTTACATTTGTACAGTTGCCCACACTCACACAGCACCAGCTAAGAAAGTTTGTTCCTCTTTTCATAAAAAATAATCAGCACTTAAAAATAATTCATTTCATTAAAAATAATCAGCACTTAATAATCTGCCACTGTCTCCCAGCTCTTGCACACACACACATACCCATTTCTACACACAGAGCCTGTTTCTCCTCCCTTTGGCCCCACTCCCACTGACTTTCTCTTCTAGCTGTGCCTTTCTCAGATGCCCTTCTCCCCTCTACCTCTAGAACTTCAATATCTACAAAAGGATCTTCACTGACATGGTGAGCTCTCCTGGAACCAACTGTGCCGAGGCCTATCATAGCTGGGCTGATCTTCGAGATGTCCTCTTCAACCTGGTGAGGAAGTTGGGTCGACAGGAGTGAAGGGGCTGCTCTGTCTGTCCTTGTCCTCATCTCTTCTTTCATGCACATAAACCTTTATTCTCAGATGTATTTTACCTTCCTCTGCCAGGTGGCCATCAGAGACCACTCTATGGCCCTGGCACTCCTCTGATCCCTGAGCCAGGCTGTGCTGTCTCCCTCCTCTAGTGTGAAAACCTGGTGAAGTCCAGTGAGGCAAACTCTCCAGCCCATGAGGAGTTCAAGACGATGCTGCTGATTGCTCATTACTATGCCACGCGCTCTGCGGCCCAGAGTGTCAAACAGCTGGTGAGATGTAGGACGGCAGAGGAGCACTCAGTCAGAAGGGCTCATCTGCAAATGTATAAAGCTGAATTGATTCACATTCTGGATTCTTCAGCTTGGGCTCTTGAATCTCTCCACCTCTCTTTCAGCTTCTCTTCTGTCTAAACAAATCTTTAGCCCTTGCTGAGGTTTTCTTCTTCTGACCTTCTTAGGGCTCTGTGCCCACACAGCCTCAGCCTCATTATGTTTAAACATCCAAATCCCATGATTTATTTATTCACCTCTTATAATGTACACATATTTTGGGCTTATTTGTGATTGTTCACTGTATATTTATTTAATGTATTTGGACAATAGAATTCTACAAGTGGAAAGAACCTTAGAAATAATCTAGGTGGCCAGGCACGGTGGCTCACCCCTGTAATCCCAGCACTTTGGGAGGCCGAGGCGGGTGGATCACTTGTGGCCAAGAGTTCGAGACCAGCCTGGCCAACGTGGTGAAACCCCATCTCTACTAAAAACATAAAAATTAGCCAGGTGTGCTAGTGTGCGCTTGTAGTCCTAGCTACTCAGGAGGCTGAGGCACGAGAATTGCTTGAATCCGGGAGGCAGAGGTTGCAATGAGCTGAGATGGCACCACTGCACTCCAGCCTGGGTGACAGAGTGAGACACTGTCCTAAAAAAAAAAAAAAAAAAAAAGAATTGAACTTAGGCCCAGATCTGTTGTTCAGAGAAAAGAAAAAAGAAAAGGAAAGAAAGAAAAAAAAAAAAAAAAACCAACCTAAGACCAGAACAGCTTGAGATCCAGAGCAGTTTAATAATAATTGTTGTTTTTCAGTTCTGTGGCTGCCTTACAGGATCATTGGTCTGGTAGCTCAGTCACTTTAGTGCCATATTCATAATGCTTTGACTTTAATCCCAGGAAACTGTGGCTGCCAGACTTTCTGTTTCACTCTTGCGTCACACCCAGCTACTACCTGTAGACAAAGCCTTCTATGAAGCAGGCATTGCTGCCAAGGTGAGCTGGGACAAGGAAGGGTGGGGCAGATGGGAGGAAGTCAAAAGTTGGAAAATAGAATATCCTTTCTGCTCTGGTAGAGGAAAGCTGAGTGTAGGGCTGATGTTATGGAGGATGTGGTCCTCCTATGTCTTCCTGGATTTTTCTCCCTGGATCCCAGAGAAGTAGCATTCAAGCCCAGCTTGTTCACTCCCATTTGCATCTGGATCCCAGAGAAGTAGCATTCAAACCCAGCTTGTTCACTCCCATTTGCATCTGGATCCCAGAGAAGTAGCATTCAAGCCCAGCTTGTTCACTCCCATTTGCATCTGGATCCCAGAGAAGTAGCATTCAAGCCCAGCTTGTTCACTCCCATTTGCATCTGGATCCCAGAGAAGTAGCATTCAAACCCAGCTTGTTCACTCCCATTTGCAACTCTTCTCTGCTGCAGGCAGTTGGCTGGGAGAACATGGCATTCATCTTCCTCAATCGCTTTTTGGACCTGACTGACGTGCGTAGGGAAGCTGTGCCCCGAGGGTGGGGGTTTTTGCTGGTCGCAAGCTGTGCCTAGCTCATGGTTGCCTACTCTACTGCAGGCAATCGAGGAGGGGACTCTGGATGGCCTTGACCACTCTGATTTTCAGGATACAGACATTCCCTTTGAGGTGCCACTCCCAGCCAAGCAGCATGTACCGGTAAGGGCACAGGGTTGGAAAATGGGAAGGCCTCACCAGTGTAAGTGCCTTGAGGAGGGAGAACATCTTTGTGCTGCCATCTTTGGAAGGACCTCAGCCCTCACTATTCTTTCACTGAAAGTAGAAGCAAAGTAGAAAGAAAAAGCTGTGACTGTATCCCCCAATCCAAGGAGGATTTGTGGCTGAAAGCTGGTATACAGGATGAGGGCTTAGCAAACCCCCTCTTCACCCATCTACCCCAACTTGCCCTGCCCTGTGTGAAGCTACCACTCCCTCTTGTCCTTTCCAGGAGGCTGAGAGAGAAGAGGTTCGAGACTGGGTGCTTACAGTCTCCATGGACCAGCGGCTGGAGCAGGTTCTGCCTCGGGACGAGCGTGGTGCCTACGAGGCCTCCCTAGTGGCAGCAAGCACTGGGGTTCAAGCCCTGCCCTGCCTTATTACAGGTAGAGAAGCCTACAGCACCCCAGATCCTGTGGTGGGTGGGAAGCAGCAGGATCAATAAACTTAATTTTACTAGGATTCAGTAAAGGGTACAAAAGACAGGACCATGCTTTCTACCCCCAGGCTGCTCCTCATTTTTCCATCCTCAATCTCTCTCAAACCCCAGTTCACCATTTTTTTCTTCCTCCACAGGATACCCCATTCTGAGGAACAAAATTGAATTTAAGCGGCCAGGGAAGGCTGCTAACAAGGACAACTGGAATAAATTCCTTATGGCCATCAAGGTTAGAGAGGGGGACTTGAAGAATGAAGGCAGAGAGGGCAGCACTAAAAAAGAAAAAAAAAACAAGTCCAGGCGCGGTGGCTCACGCCTGTAATCCCAGCACTTTAGGAGGCCAAGGCAGGCAGATCACCTGAGGTCAGGAGTTTGAGACCACCCTGGCCAACATGGTTACAAACCTCGTCTCTACTAAAAATACAAAAATTAGCCGGGCGTGGTGGCATGCACCTATAATCCCAGCTACTCAGGAGGCTGAGGCAGGAGAATCGCTTAAACCCAGGAGGTGGAGGTTGCAGTGAGCTGAGATCGTGCCACTGCACTCCAGCCTGGATGACAAAGCAAGACTCCATCTCAAAACAAACAACCCACATACACACTAGAAAGGTGGGTGGGATTGCAGGAAGGCAGGTGCAGACCCTGAAGCCTGCGATGGAGCTGATTTTCTATTTCGAGCATTAACAAGTTCCTCTCATGTTCTTCTATTTGCTTACAGACCTCCCACAGCCCAGTGTGCCAGGACGTGCTGAAATTCATCAGTCAGTGGTGTGGAGGGCTCCCCAGCACCAGCTTTTCCTTTCAGTAGTCGGTAGAGCTGAGGAAGAGTTAGGGCCTCTCCCTCATTAAAGTTTTATAAATAACTGAGACCACTGTATTCTTTGATCAAAGTCACTCCCAACATCACACAGTGTCTTTTCCCCAAAAGGAATCATAATCAAGTAGAAGAAAAGAGAAGTTACTTTATTACAATTTATTATCTCATCCCGAGGTCAGGGCCCCTTGCTTAGTGGGAAAAAAACACCCTTTAGGACTGAGTCTTGGAACAGCACCTGCTGGACAGAGGGGAGAACCAACCCAGGTCAGAGGGGGAAAGTAGCATGGCAAGACCTAGACCCAGTTCTAAGAGCACTTCCCTGCCCCCACTCTTACCCAGGCCACCACCTTCAAGGCCCATTACCTGTCCTAAACCCAACTTCTCTGTGATGCCTGGATTTTTTGACTTTGATCCAGTAGCTGCTCATTTTCCTGCCTTTTATGTTTAGGAGATTCAAGCTCTATCATTTCCTCTAGCTGCAGAAAAAGGTGGAGTTAGACACCCTTGCCCTGAATGATAGGTCAGCATCTTTTTTTTTTTTTTTGAGATGGAGCCTGGCTCTGTTGCCCAGGCTGGAGTGCAGTGGCACGATCTCGGCTCACTGCAACCTCCACCTCCCGGGTTCAAGCGATTCTTCTGCCTCAGCCTTCCAAATAGCTGGGATTACAGGTGCCCGCCACCCCACCTGACTAATTTTTTGTATTTTTAGTAGAGATGAGGTTTCACCACGTTGGCCAGGCTGGTCTCAAACTCCTGACCTCAAGTGATCTGCCTGCCTCAGGCTCCCAAAGTGCTGGGATTACAGGTGTGAGCCACTGCACCTGGCCAGTCAGCATCTTTTCAACACAGCCAATCTCTGTGGAATAAACCCTTCCTGTTCACCTTCCTTACCTGCCCCTGAAGTCCCTCCTTCCTGCAGGGCCCAACTCCACGTAGAGTGAGTGCAGCCACACAGCAGTAACCAGATAGAGCAGCCTCCCCTGCAGACATGAGCAAAGAAGGGATCCAGAGAGCCAAGGCTGTATCCTGAAAAGCAAGGATGGGGAGTAGGAGGGAGTAGGGCAAGTGCAGCAAAGAAGGGAAATTAAAAGGGCAGGACCAAGGCTTTGTAGACCACAAGAAGGAAGAGAATGTGCTCACATAGATTCTTGTGGGGTCAAAGGGGCAGTCGGTATGTCCCGGCCCCTCATCCAGTGGTACCAGAGGATCCAGCAGTCCTGGGTGGCAGTCAGCAATAAGGCGGCGGCCACCGTTGGCCACAGTGAGTGACACGGCAAGGAGGAGGCCCAGAGAGCAGGCAGCGGACAAGAGCAGGTTCACCAGAGCTAGTACCAGCAGGGCCCAGTGCTGGCAGGGACAGATCAGGGTGAGCAGCCTGGGCCTGGCTAACTCCCAGTGACTAGGCACCCAGTTTCTCTATTTGAGGCTCCTCCAATCTATTGAAAGACCAATCTCAGCCCCCATTTCCCTGACTCAAGCCTACTCGTTAAAAGCTCCAGGAAGTCCCTTCTCACCAGTGGAGGGCGAAGAAGGTTCCTGGACGCCAGGAGAGCCACAAGTCCCACGGAAACGCTCTGTGGAAGACACAAAGCCTTTGGCTTGCTGGGCTCTCCGGGCGCCCGGCCCCCACCCCGGGCCGCCTGCCGCGCTCACCAGCAGCCCCGAGCCGACGGAGATGACATTGGCCGTGGTGTACTCTGGCGTGACAGCGCCGCGGGGATTGGCCACGTGCCGCAGGACAGTGCCGTGCAGCACGGCCCCCAGCAGCAGGTTCACGTGGCCCACCAGGATCAGCGCGAGGCCCACGCGCATCAGCCGCCGGGGCCCCCGGGCGGCGTCTGCAAAGCACGGGTGAGGGCAGGGTTGAGTCGGGCGGGGTGGGGAGAGATGGCTCCTGGCGGGTTAACCGCGGGCAGTAGGACAGGCCAAGGGTGGCCCCAAGGTTAGGAGACAAGACGCCAGGTCCCGGAAGTTACCGAAAGCGCAGAGACTGCAGCGCCTCATCCCGTCCGCCGCGCCGGCCGCTGGGCCGCTCTACCTGGGCCCAGCCCCGCCCCAACCTGGGCCCCGCCTCCGTCCCGGGTTCCCCTCCCACCTGGGCCCCGCCTCCGCCCCGGGCCCGCTCCCCCTGGCGGGAAAGGCGCGAACACACGACGCTTTTAGCAAAAAGTAGACTTTTATTACAGCAGCAACTGAGGCGAATCGAATGGCCCCCCAGGGCCACCACTGCAGCACCACCTTTCTCTCCCGCCCCGGCCGCCCCAGCGGGATTGTAGAATTCGGCTCCCCTAGTGCCCGTGGGCCTCCTTTCCACACAGGCTGGGCGGGAGCCGGCAGATCAGCGACTAGCCCCCAACTAGAAGGCGGCTGCTGAGAAGGCCCAGGCCCACGTCTGTGCAAAACAAGTAAACAAAGTGCAGAGGGGAGGAAGAAAGGGGAGGGGGAGGATGATGCTCAGAACCAGGGAGCCCCCCCAGCCCTCCTGAATAATAAAGGAAGGAAGGGGCTTCACAGGGTAATACTGACTGGGGGGAAGGGATAGGAGGGCTGCAGCACGTCCAGGGACAGCCACAGCGCAGATCAGGGCCTGGCTCGAGTGAGCTCTAAGAGGAGACGGTGACAGCGGCTGAGTTGAGGGTACTGTTCCTGGCAAAATTGAACTTGTTCAAGGTCTCTTCTAGCAGAGAAGTCAGCCGGCTTTGGTCAGCCTGGGGAAGAAGAGCTCAGTGACATGGGGGCTGAGAGAAGAGAAGGCATGGGGGCAGCCAGGGCAGATGAAGGCAGAAACCTCACCTCACTAATGAAGCCCAGCTGCACCAGCTCAGCTGCCAACTCGGGGATGTTCTCATCTGACAGAGAAACAGGAGGGGGTGAGTACAGTATGGGACTGAGGGACCTGGGGCCCTTCAGACAGCCCCACCGGGGCTAAACTGTCAGATCCACCCACTGCTTTAGGGGCTAAGATAGTCATTCTATGTGAGTCAATGTGTTACTGCCTTGTCACCTTTCCCACCCCTGAATATGTCCCTAAAAGATAAGGCTCATAGACTCTCCATCCTCTGAGGGAAAGGAGAGACTCACTTGGCATCAGGTCACAGCTCAGGTGCCGGTTCAGTTTGTCCTCCAGCTTCAGCAGAAGCGTCAGCTGGAGAATAGGACAGTCAGAAAATGAGACTCTTCTTCCCTACCCTCTGGCCACCAGCCCTGCGCAACCCTAGCCCTGAGCCTTACATGGTGTTTGACTCCCTCCTCCACCGACTCAATGTTGCACTGCATCAGCACCACCTAGGGAAGGAAGAGAGGGTCACTCTAGAGACCTATCCATAAAAAACCCAATACCTAGACGTCTTTCCAGCCCATAGGGCATGGCTGCTAGGGAGCATTTTCTCTAAAGAATAGAGCCTTATTTGAGATGTTCTCTCTCCCTTCCACCACAGCCATGGAGACAATCCACACCCACACAGCCCCCACCTTGCGAGTCTCCACCTCAGCTGGTTCAGGTGTCGGAGTCTTGACAGAGGGAGGCACAACAGGTGATGTCACCTCCTCCTGCTGTGGCTGCTGGGGCCGAGGCAGCCCAAAGGCTGTCAGAGGATAGATCCCATTCCTGGAGGAAGATGAAGACAGGTCACATGGGCTCTGTGAATGCCTTAGGATACCCAACCCTGCTTGCTTCCTCAAGAAAGCCTGCCTTCTCACTCTGCTCTCACCTGACATCTTCAAGGAATTTATCTAATTCCAGAGCTGGTGACTGAGAGTACCTGGAGGAGAAAAGAGAAAGGAGATGGAAGGAAGGAAACAAGCAAAATAGCAAATTCAACCATTCCCAGAGAGAATGGGCAGTTTACAGAGCCTCAAGAGTGGTAGTGACCAATTTGCCCCTTTTAGACCCTCTCAGTTACTCACAAAGTCTGAACTGGTTCTCTTCCTGGTCCTGCAGGGATTTCAGCCAGTACAGCACTGGTATCCATGTTTTTGGTAATCTCCTCCAGAGCGTTCTCTGGGATCATGTCTGGATGGAGTGGGATGTTATGAAGGGATAGTCAGATTAAATGTCATAGAAGGCATGCAGGCAAAGGGGTAAAGAATCCCTTTGGAGGCCTGGCGCAGTGGCTCATGCCTGTAATCCCAGCACTTTGGGAAGCCGAGGTGGACAGATCACTTGACGCCAGGAGTTCAAGACCAGCCTGGCCAACATGGCGAAACTCCATCTCTACTAAAAGTACAGAAATTAGCCAGGCATGGTGGCACATGCCTGTAATCCCAGCTATTCGGGAGGCTGAGGCACAAGAATCGCTTGACCCCAGGAGCTGGAAGTTGCAATGAGCTGAGATCAAGCCATTGCACTCCAGCCTGGGAGACAGAGTGAGACTCTGTCTCAAAAACAACAACAAAAAAAGAATCCCTTTGGAAATAGAAGAGGAAAGCAAGCATGCCAGTGATAGTTACAGGGTTCCAGATTGGAAGACTATTCCCCATAGGGCCAAGAGGACTCACGTTGGTGTCCCACAATGCAGTGGGCAGCAAGGAGTTTGAGCGAGGGCACTTCAAACAATGCTGGGTGGAACAGAAGTTCTCTGGCTGTTGGTCTGCGAGCAGGTTCAGACTGCAGGCACTTTTGAATGAATTCCTAGAAAAGAAAACAAGGAACTGAAGCAGGCATCTGGCAAGCCCCTCAATGTGTTCATCTTTATAACTCTCATTCTACTTAGCACAAGGCTTTGTACATAGCAGAGGCTCAGCACTTGCTGAGAAAACAATATATTGACAAATGCACCTGAAAGGGCTTCAAAAACTATAAGATATTATATGAAAGACACCATCCACTGCCTTTCTGGGTTTAATTATTTTTCTGCTCTCCAACCACAAGCTTGCTTTTTTCTTTAATGTTCACACTTTCTTTTTCCTTAGTTTCTACCTCTGCTTTATTAGCCAATGCACTGCCTATCTTCTATTCTAAATCTTGCCAAATTTAGCTTCTCTCTTCCCAAACTTACCCAATGTGATCAATATTCACCATCTTTTTTATTTCACAAGCCTAGTATCACAATTTCCTTTGCCCACAATCATTGAATTCACTCAATTTCCCAGGATTCCTCTACCCATTCTGCCTTTTTTTTTTTTCTCTCTCTCTCTCTTTTTCCTGAGACAGGGTCTTGCTGTGTCACCCAGACTGGAGTATAGTGGCAAAATCACAGCTCACTGCTGCTTCAACCTCCTGGGCTCAAGCAATCCTCCCACTTCAGCTTCCAGAGTAGCTGGGACCACACGCGTGTGCCACCACACCCAGCTAATTTTTATATTTTTTTCACAGAGATAGGTTTTTGCTATGTTGCCCAGGCTAGTCTCGAACTCCTGAGCTCGAGTGATCCTCCCACCTCAGCCTCCAAAAGTGCTGGGATTAAAAGTATGAGCCACCGTGCTCCACCGCCTCCTTTTCTACCTCCTGCACGTCCCATGACAATTAACCTGCTTTCCTGCTTTTAACCTTGAAGGCTAACAAGGTCACATACCTAATCTTTCACTTGAATACTCCACCTCAGTGTTGAAGTAGAAACTTACTCCACACTATCCTCCTGACTTCCCACTAGTCTTCTTTTCTCTCCTGTTCCCTATTATACTTATCTAACGAGTTACAAACTGTTTTTGTTTGGACCTTCCTGTCCAAGCTCTACTTACTATAGTCTATCAACTGATTCATAACCTTATGTCTTTTAAATCTTGGCTCATTATTTCAGGGCACCATCCCTAACTAAAACTGTATAAATATAAAATCCCAAACAACTGGTTTAATTTAAATTGACTGATGTGCTTAAAAATATAAAAATGGGCCGGGCGTGGTGGCTCACGCCTGTAATCCCAGCACTTTGGGAGGCCGAGGTGGGCGGATCACAAGGTCAGGAGATCGAGACCATGGTGAAACCCCGTCTCTACTAAAAATACAAAAAATTAGCCGGGCACAGGGGCGGGCGCCTGTAGTCCCAGCTACTCGGGAGGCTGAGGCAGGAGAATGGCGTGAACCCGGGAGGCGGAGCTTGCAGTGAGCCGAGATTGCGCCACTGCACTCCAGCCTGGGCGACAGAGCGAGACTCCGTCTCAAAAAAAAAAAAATAAATTTAAAAAAATAAAATAAAATAAAAATGGCTGTCTGAGAGTATACAGCAATTGCCTGAAGTAACCATCAAATTAATTTACCTCCATGTAGGCATATTTAAATTCACACACATTTTCTTTCTTTCTTTTTTTTTTTTTTGAGACAGTCTCGCTCTGTTGCCCAGACTGGAGTGCAGTAGCCCAATCTCGGTTTACTGCAACCTCCACCTCCCAGGTTCAAGCGTTTCTCTTGCCTCAGCCTCCCGAGTAGGTGGGACTATAGGCACACACCACCACGCCCACCTAGTTTTTGTATTTTTAGTAGAGACAGGGTTTCACCACGTTGGCCAGGCTGGTCTCAAACTCCTGACCTCAAGTGATCCGCCCGCCTCCGCCTCTCAAAGTGCTGGGATTACAGGTGTGAGCCACTGCGCCCAGCCAACACACAACTTTGAACCCCAGTATCATCCATCTTAACCCCTTAACCTATGTGTATGTATGCAAAAACATAGTAGGCACCTCCTAAGAAAATGTTTACAGATTTTGCGTGTCCTTTCTGTTTTATGTTCCCTAGATCTTAGGAGCATATGCCCAGTGGATACAAAGGAAGAAAAACCAGAAGACATTTGAAGGTCAGTTGAGGAGGGAGTGATCCTGAAGATCCTTACCCTCTGTAATGGGTCTTCTAGAAGCTGGATGGCACTGCTGATGGCTTCCTGTGGCACATATGAGGACTCCCCATTGCCCTGAATCTCCAGCACTGCCATCTTCAGTGAGGAGGAATAAAAAAAAAGGAGACACCTAAGAATGTCAGTGCTCACACAATCACTCCTTCCAAGCCAGCGCCTTACTTGTCCTCCCTCCATTCCCCCTTCCATCTTCTCATTTGACCCCTTGCCCCCCTCCTCTCCAGTCTCCTCACCTCCAGTGCACACATGCCGAAGGAGTAGATGTCCACTGCTGTTG